ATTATATTATAATCACATATACATATAATTAAAATAGTAATAATTATAGAGATGAAATCATATAGGGACCCAAAACAAAAAGTTGAAATATTTCACTAGAGGCCTTGCACTAAATAAAAGTGGTTTTGCTTTGTTTTTGAGTCAGGGTCTCTCTGTAGCCAGCTGCCTGGAACACACTATGTAGTCCAGATTGGTCTCAGTCTCACAGAGATCCACCTGCCTCTGCCGCCCAAGAGCAGGGATTAAAGGTGTGCCAAATCAAAGTTTTTCAAAGAAGCTGGCATGAAAAATGAATGCTCACAGATGGAAGCTATTTCCTTGAAACCTATCTCCTGGTTCATTAAAACCTCTTCAGCTTTATCTAATTGGTGTTAAACTCTAGTTTAGCTTTTTCCATTCTAGATGTAGACAGTTGAGAAAAAACAAGTATGTTGGCAAATGCAAATTCTCACTGACCACATAATGATATAATTACATCTTTGGTATATACAGAAAACTAACATTAGGAAGATAATTTAAAGTAAGCTGGCAGCCACTTAACTTCAATGGGAATTCCCCAAAGAATCATTTAGTAACTGTTTTAAGTGAAAGAGCACAATCTGCTCCAGGCTGAGCTTTCTGGCAATCAGGAGACACAGCTGTCCCCTGGGCTGCCAGGTAACCTTGCCTGTTCCATCGGCCACCTTAACTCAGCAGCTCCTGAGTGGCTAGACCTGAGCCTCCTTTGTTAGGATGTGCCCTTAGCAGTATATTAACAACCACAGAGAGATGATTGTGTCATTGTGCTACAGGCAGTGTGACAAAATTTGCTGTGGTATTAGTTAGGAGTTTGAAGTTTGAAGTTTTCTTTTTCTCTGTAGTTAATCCTACAAAGGAATCATTAAGAGATAAGAGCAAAAATGCTGTCAAAGTTTGAAACATTTTCCGAAGTCTTTATTTGAAGGAACTTTTGAGGAGTGAGCTTTCACAGCTCTCTTTATGCACAAATGAACTTGTATGCATTCTCTTGTGAACTGCTCCTGCGTGGGACACAAGCCAAACACCTCAGGAAAACAGGACACATGGTAATGCTTTTCTTCTGCCCTCTGATGGCTTTCTCTGTTGCTGGTCCCCCCAGTTCCCACCATTCCGGTCTTTTCCTTTCTGGCACTTTCTTTCTCTTCCAGTCGTGGGGAAGCAGCAGCGCCTTCTTCTCTGATTGGGAAATTCAGTTCTGTTTTTTAGGAATCTTTGATTTGCTCCTCAAAGGACTGATCTTCCTCTTTTAAGAAAAATTTAATGTGGGTTAGAGGCTAAGAGAAGAAAACCGCATGACGCTTCAGGACCTCTGTGTCTTAGCACTATACCTGTTAGTAAATCCTCTCTTCCAAAGTGGGTAATTTTTGGCTTCCATTTCAACAACTGAGACAAAATCCCCTTTATATGTCTTGATATGGTTCTTCTGGTGATGAAAGTCCACATTATATTTAAAAGTTGCAAGTTTGGGGAAGCTAGTATGAGGAAGTTATATATGTATCGTGGGGGGAGATTAGGACACCTGTGTAGACATAGGGAAACACGATTCATAGAGAATTCCAAACACATACAGTGCAGAAAGTAGTCATACATTTGGTTATGAGCATACTCTGTTATTATAACTCTGGGCTGTGTGGCAGTCAGTACAGAATAGGACACAGATCTTTACAGGTGACAAAGTTCTCTGATGCCTCTGTTACACACTGTCCTAGGGAAGCCATGGGTTTTAAAATATCTTCCTGGCTCCTAGCCAGACTGCACTCTCTGGGTAGCAGTGAAGCTGTAGGCCTTTTCCCGACTCACTTTTGACCCATCCTTTCAGTGATGTACTCATCTTTAGTTTAGATAATGCCTTTTGAGCAATGTTTTGGGCCATTCACAGAGCTAGCTACTTCTGGTGTCTCATTCTGGAAGCATTCCTCTCAGGCAGGTCCTTTTATGGGTAAAAACCACTCAGTGGACATTACCTAATTTAACAATAACCAAGCACATAGCACACCATTCTAAGAGCTGTTCCCACTTAAAATTTGGACTCAGAGTCTAAATAAAGGAAGCACCGAGAACAGTGAAATTACAACCAGGGTAAAAAAATGTGATGATTTTATTACTGTGAACCTCCGTGAAGCCCTAACACAGTGCATGTTACCTGTGAGGAACTCTGACTCCAGACAGGGCACGATGTTCAAGTTCTCCTTCCTGAAAGTGTTCTTGTAAGATTTTCATTCTTTGGCCTTTACTTAAATTTTTTTTCTCACCCTTAGAGGAATTTCTAGAGCTAGTGAAGTTCCACTCTAGTGACTTGGGAAATTAATTTCTGAGCATGTATTTTTAAGTAGGCATAAAACTGTGGATAAAAAAGAGGGTTAAACACGTAGATGCTTGTTAGGCGTAAGGAGGCTTCACAGGATTTCACTTCTTACTTTCCAAAAGAAATACTGAAAGCAATGAGGAACCACAGTGTTGTCCCCGAGTTCATCCTCCTTGGACTGACTGATGACCCCCAGATCCAAGCTCTGCTCTTCGTGCTCTTCCTGGCCATTTACCTTCTGACGGTGGTGGGGAACCTGATGATGCTGCTGCTGGTCAGGATCGATTCCCATCTCCACACACCCATGTACTTCTTCCTGGGACAGTTGTCCTTCCTGGATCTCTGTCACTCCTCTGTCACGGTGCCTAAGCTGTTGGAGAACCTCTTGTCTGAGAAGACCATCTCTGTTGAGGGCTGCCTGGCTCAGGTCTTCTTTGTGTTCGCCACCGGAGGCACTGAGTCCTGCCTACTCACAGTGATGGCCTACGATCGCTATGTCGCTATCAGCTCTCCTCTGCTCTATGGTCAAGTGATGAACAGACAGCTGTGTGCTGGGTTGGTGTGGGGCTCCTGGGGCTTGGCTTTTCTGGATGCTCTTGTCAATATCCTTGTCGCACTGAATTTAGATTTCTGTGAGGCTCAAAATATCCACCACTTCATCTGTGAGCTGCCTTCCCTCTATCCTTTGTCTTGCTCAGATGTATCTGTAAGTTTTACGACCCTTCTCTGCTCCAGCCTCCTCCATTTCACTGGAAACTTTCTCCTGATACTTTTCTCATACATTCGCATTTTGTTCACCATCCTGGCCATAAGCTCCACCACAGGTAGGAGCAAGGCCTTTTCCACCTGCTCGGCCCATCTCATTGCAGTGAGCTTCTTTTATGGCTCAGGATTGCTGCGTTATCTCATGCCAAATTCAGGATCCACCCAAGAGATGATCTTCTCCTTGCAGTACAGCGTGCTCACCCCCATGCTGAATCCCCTCATCTACAGCCTGAAGAACAAGGATGTGAATGAGTCATCCTGGATTTTATTCTTCGAAGGTCAGATATACAAACATGAAAGAGCACATCATTAGATACTTACATCCTGTCATGAACCATACTAAGTAATTACTAAGTAATTTACGTATATCATTCCATTAAATTATCATGTGCAATAGGTAATACCTGAAAGAATAGGAATTGTCTCAGAGAGGTAAGAGATGGGGTCATAGCTTAGAACCAAGTGGATTTAGATCAAAACCTGTTTTCTTTACCAGCTTAAGAACTGACCCACCTGTGATGTTGTAAGCTACCCTGGACTCAATTAGTAAATTATATTTTTAATGTTTATTGCTATTTTGACTTATTTTAAGTCAAAATCAGATTTTGTAAAAAAAGGGACCTAAAAGGTATACATTGCTACGACAAGAGACTCATAAACATAGATATCCAAGGACAAGTGGGACACCTGAAGTAGTTCGTTAGATCTAGTCATGTCCAATAGAGACTACAGAAACATACCTCCTTCAGATGACTTCCCTAATGGCCAAGCATTTCTTTCTGTGAGGGACCTGGTGACAAGAACTGAATCCCCAGATTGTTCACATGCCAGACAAATAGCTCTGCCCCTCAGCCCTCATTGCAGAGATGTCAGAATATGAGGCTCTCAATGGCCTAGCAAATGCTGGACAGAATCTGAGGCACATACCCAGGAGAAAATGGCAGAATTGTAGGAACGATGCCTAGACTGTGAAAGGCAATTGGGGGACTAATTATAAAGGGAATTAGCAGACACAAATAGTAGTTTTTTCTGAAACTATCTTTTTTTTCACTTATTTCCAAGCTGTCAATTGTCATCCTCTCCTACCATTTCATATTGTATGAATCATCAGCAGAGTATATGTAGTCAAAGAAAACACACACACACACACACACACACACACACTACATGCACATACGTCCACTCCCCCAAACCTAATGACACTTTCAGGTACCTTTACTAGCTTTTACCAAATATTAAAATCACTTGAAAAATTTTTATTTTTATTTCATGTGTATGAGTGTGCTAGCTGCATGTATGTAAGTGCACCCATGTCTGCAGTGCCTGCAGAGATCAGAAGAGGGTGTTGGATCTCTTGGAACTGAAGTTACAGATGGTTGTTAGGCACCATGTGAGTGCTAAGAATCAAACCAGGGTCCTCTGCAAGAGCAGCCAGTGCTCTGAGACACCAAGTCAACTATCCAGCCCCTTTTAATTTTAATTAGTTCAACCTGTTTGTGACCCAGTGACTACAGTTTGAATATGGACATTATGGGTCAAGAAGCTGAGGATGTGTTTAGGCTGAGTTCTTGTCACAGGTACCCTCTGCCGAAGCAATGCTGTATACATAGAATACTTTGTACACAAATGTTAGTCTCTTCCTGGTCAACACCATTCCAGTCCATGAATTCCTGAACACTGCAGCTATGGCCTGGCAGGTCTGAAAGACTGATCGGCTTTTGCTTTAAGCAATTTTGGTGAAGATTACACATGACTGTTGTTGGGTGTGTTTCGTGTTTCACTGTAGCCCCAGCTGATCTGGAACTTGATATGTAAATAAGTCTGGAGTTGATCTCACAGAGATCCATCTTCCTCTGACTCCCAAGTGCTGGGATTAAAGGTGTGTACCACCACACCTGACTGCACTTTTTTTTAATGTGTCCAATTTATTAAACTATGTGTCTAGGTCTACTGTCTTATTTGTAGATACTATTGAATTTAAAAGTACAGTTAATTATTTCATTTTAAAGTGGAAATTATAATGTAATTTTGTATGTCTCATGTTTGAGTTAATTTAGTGGTCAGGACCTTTAGTATAGATACGTTCTCTTTGGGATCAATAAGAAAGGCCAGGTTTTAGTATTGCGAGTGGCACTTTTGTTTCATTTTGCATGGCTACATTAAGTTTATCAAGAAAGTTCTATTCTAATCATATTTGGCTAAGAATTGACTGGAGATTTTATCAAATGTTGTTGATGCTTCTAATTAGATTTAGGGTCATTTCTCTTTGGTTTTCTACTGTATAGCACCCATCACATAAGGGATACGCAATAAATATATGTGAAATAAAAATCAAATTCATTGACATGATCATATGGTTTTATTATTTAGTAATTAGTGAATTGCATAGTATATGTTCTGTGCATACACCTCACTTAATTAGATTATTAAAAGTTTAATTGACTTTTTCCCTGTTAAAAATCTCTGAACTATTTTTTAAAATTAACACACATCATAATGTATTTCATTATGGAATTTCACAGTATTGTTTTTGTATGTTTCCCTCCACCACTGATCTCCCTTTGTCCTCTTGATCCCATGGTTGCTGGTTCCCATGTCTTTCCCCCAAAACTTACTTTCTGTTTCTTTAGAAATTTAAAAAATTTTATTTTTACTAATTCTTTGAGACCTTCATACAGCGTATTTTGATCATATTCAGAATCTTCTCCCCATCTCCTCTCAGAGCCATTCCCACTTCCTCCTCCCACAGTGTCATGTCCTCTTTCTATTTTAAAATTTCATCAAGTCAAATTACTGTCCCCAAATACTGTTGGATGTGGACTGATTCCATGGATCATGGTTGCATCCTTAAAGAAAACTGACTCTACCTCTTCCAGCATCTACTGATCACCGTTAGTTCCTCAGCTACCCTGGGGCTTCATGCAGACTTCCCCATTCACAGTGTCTTGTAGGCCAGTTGTTATTGTAGCTCACAGGATTCATGACTGGTATTTTCCAATAGTGTGCACAGCATCTTCCAGCACCATGAAAGGTAGCCAGTAGCGATGAAGGCTCCAAGTTAGTACCAGCTTGTTCTCTCCATGTTCCATGACACAAATATGTGGTGTCTTCAGTAATAGGGTCTTACCATCAAGTTCTGGAGGAAAACTAAGAGCAATGGCAATAGCATGTAATGTCAGGGTGTCAAGGGAACAAACACTCCTGGCCAAAACTCCAAAGGAGGTAACCACTCCTGGTCCTGGGCTTTTTATTTGTTAGCCTGTGTTGTCTAGTAGAGGCACTGTATCCTCAATTATGGTATAACTTCAGGTAAATTCTTTGTATTTGTATATAGTTATCCCTCACCATACTCAATCCTTCTACCAACTCTTCCACTCCTCATCTCATTTTTATTGACTTTTAAGGCCATCTGTTCAGGCTGCCTTCACGGGCTGCCACTGCCGCCTGATCCTGGACCCCAGGGCTAGTAAGGAGGCTGTATCAGTAGAGCCGCATTCAGACCCAGGAGACCAGGTTCAGTGACACAGATCTACTTTATTGAGGAAACAATGAGCTTATATAGGGTTCTTAATGATCAGGTCATACATGGGCAGATAGCTTAGGTTTTGGTTTACGGTTTTGCTTTAACGATCGGGACTAGAATTCCTGTAAATCATGTGATCAGCCCTGTGAGGGAAATGTGGTTGGTTCCCTTGGGTTTGGGGGCCATCTTGTGTCCTAAAAAGCTGTTTATCAAAGCAAACTAACATACTCCAACACCTCCTCCTTTTTGTTTAAAAGATGGGTTATTCTGAGGTCCAAACTAGGGGTCCAAACTGGGGCCTTGGGAAGGCTGGTGAGATATGAAGAAGGAAGAGGTCTACTGGATGAAGTAATATGGGGCAATGGCTAGACCATCTTGGAGTGTGCTCACCAGACCTGAACGGTCAAGCCTGTTGGTATTGTCTCATCTGAGCCAGGGCCTTCAAATGTATTTTCATTCCAGGACTCCCTAAGATCAAGACCCACATTGTTTGAGCCAAGGTAACCCCCACAAAGATCCAAGCAGGACAACCCAAGTTGTTTTAGGCTGTTGTATGGCTGTGGACATGATTTTTATATTTTTTAAGCCTGGGTCTGGGCATGACTAAGGGTAGGGGTAAGAAGTGAGGCAGTGCCATCATAAGTTGAATTATAGCAAGCCGGTCTCTAGTAAAGTTAAGTAAGGCTCTTAAAAGAATTGGGCCACAGGTTAGGGCCACAAGGACCAAGGCCAGAGGCCCGATTAAGGCAAAGAGGAGTATTGTGAGCCAAGGAGAAGACTGGAATAGTGACTCATACCAGTTTTGGTTCTTTACCCTGGTCTGTTCTCTCTCTAAGATCCTCTTGTGGACTAAATTCAAAGAGCCCCTTATGACACCAGAATGATTAGCATAGAGACAGCACTGTTCTCTTAGAGCAACACATAATCCTCCATGTTGAAGGAGCAAGAGGTCCAGGCCCCTTGTATTTTGTAAGGTGACCTCGGCAAGGGAGGACAGGGAACTCTCAAGATGTTCTATAGCAGTTTGTAATTCTTTTAAGTCCAAATCAATAGCCATACTAAGGGCATTATAATTTTTGTCTTGTAGGATCTGTGCTGACGTTCCTAAGCCTAGGGCATCAGCAATACTGATCCTCAAAAGAGTGGTGGCAGCAATCACCAGGGTAGCTGCCCTCTTATGGCGTGAATGTTCCAATATGGAAAGCTTAAGGTCCATCTCATCCCCTGAATAAGGGTTGACTCTTGGGGTTAGCTGGGCTAGCAGGCACCATGAAGGGGCAGAATGGTTGAGAGTGATTAAGTGGATAGAAGGAGTGAGCCAAAAAGAACAAGCCCACCAGACATTGGGAGGAGGTCATAAGTAAGATTCATTTGGGGGGTAGGCGGTCTGGTTACAGAGATGCTGATAGTGGGGGTGGAATGGTGGAGCCCTGAGGGGAGACACAAAGGCCTTGTCCATAAATAGATTCCAGGGTCATCTTGGGGGTAGAAATATGCCATTGGCAGTCAGAGTAAGTGTCTAAGAATGTATAGTTGGCCAGGACGGCCAATCCTTCATAGTATTGGGAGGGGGGCTGCAGAGAGGCATAGCCAGCAGTCCTGAGTGTACCTGGGCTTAGAAGAATTAAGGACAGAGTAGGTGGCAGAAAGCAGTCCCAAGAGGCTCTCAGTCCTAACAACATGAGGGGAGGCAATGCTCCTAAAAGTAGGTGGGGAAGATAAGCTAGAGTGAGTTGGGTGAATCCAAGTGGATGGACAAGGGGGTAGGGAAGAAGTAAAAAGGGGGGAGG